TAGCTGCGAGAGCGCTGCAGTCACGATTAATAAATCCCGCTTAAGATGAGCTGGTCACGTATGCAGGATGCAAGAAAACCGCCTATCGAAATATCTTCTTTACGGCGAGCTTGTAGACAGTAAGAGAAAACCAGGTGGACAACTCAAAAGGTACAAGGATATTTTCTATGAAAACTTAAAGGGGACAGGTATCAGTGGGAGGAAACAGCGCACAATAGAACGCGGAGAAGAATTGAAAACTCAGTTAACAACAACAACCAACGAGTACAGAGGCAAGAAAGTAATGAGATTTTTGAATATCAAGAGTGCAGAAGAGAGATAACATCACGTATCGGGCTTTTCAGTAACAAAAAAGTTCATGGAAGAAAAGGCCTTGCGTAACCAACTTCTGATGCGTGTCAAATACTCGTCAGCGAGTAATGGCAGTAATAGCAATGTTATTATTTTTAATTCTACCACCAAACAAAGTACAAATTTGTCAGCCAGACAAGTCAATTTAAAGATTAAAATGCATCATTAGTTTGTGAAATAAATCAAGCTATATAACTGACCGTTTCTGTTGGAAATCCTTTATAGAAACATCTCCTCCACGTCAACGGTAACGAGATAGAAAGTGTGCAATAAAATCAAAGCGTAGCGGTTTGTTTACAGTTGGAAGCACTAAAATATTCAGATGGCAGGCCGAACGATGTTTGCCTTCATTTAAAATGGCACAGAAACATTTAGTTTAAGATTATGTTTATTGAACATGACGTATCCGATATTTTACTAATAAATTTTATTTGCGCGGAATGGGTGGCAGTTGCGTACGTAGTCAGAGAAATAAGTTAAGCTAGAGCGATTGATGGTGTTTCTCCGAAGTTTGTCTGTGATAAGTTCGAAGTGATCCTCGTCAGTGGAGCGGATAAGATCCGTTGATCTCTATGGATCTATTGAGTCCCCGTTTCTTGAGTTATAACTCATCATATACCTAGTACAGAGGTTAGTTCTCCATCTGCGATATCAGTCGTACCAAAATGTATGGTACGAATGGTCGTCGTCTCGTGTACTGGGGAAACTCTAGGTGTTCTAGGGTTTCCCTATTTTACCCACACAATTTGCATTCGCCGTTGTTTCTTAGCTTCAATTTCCTGAGGTGTTCATTAAGGAGGTATTGGCTGTGGTTCTTACAGCCCGGTTGCTAATAAAAAAAATCAGATTATCTAACTTTGGATAAGAACTTACAGGCTCGTATCCAAATTCGGAGCATGCCACCGATTGAAGCGTTAATACTACCTGATTCACTTAGTTCCCTCAATTCGAGATCTAGTATATGAACTTACTGATAGACACAACAATATTAACTTTATGTGGATTCCTGGACACTCTGACAATGCTGGTAACGACCGAGCAGACAAACTGGCTAACGAGGTAACGCTCTCAAAGAACATTGAAGGAACTCCATCCATTGTCGATTTCAGAAATTTTCACACAAAAGTGTTTTTCGGTATACTTCAAAATGAATGGGACATCCTCGAGGGAACTAATATAGAGCACATATGGGCCACTTCTTCATCTGTATCAAAATATATATTCTCTTGAACGCGGACCTTTATGTAAAGTTGTTAGAACCCTCACAGGACACTCATATCTTGTCAAATCTTATATCATTCAAAAATGAACCCTCTCCGAAATGCACCTTATGTAATAACTTAATGTCAATGAGACACATTATTTTACCTGTTGCTTCCCAAAGGTCTAGACTCTTCAATGCTGTTATGGGAATATTTTGGGACAGTGTCTTGTTAAAAACCCCGTGATAATCCGAAGATTACAGTTGAGGGTTGGAACCTTTGGTGTTACACAGCAAAATAAAAACACTAAATCACCACAAGTTCACCAGTTTATAATCATCTGCTGATGATGCTAACATGGTTAGCGAAACGCGCGTCCAGTGTAAAAGTAAAAGTGTTTTGGTGTATTGTGGTGATTTAGTGTTTTTATATTAATCCGAAGATTGTTCTTACTTAAATCAAGAAAAATCTTTGATTTTTCTCGGTCGTAAGTTCTTTGGAGGATTTCCATTCCCGGTTACGGATGGAGTCTTCCAGGTTCTAGAGTTGTACTTACACTTATCTGGGACACCCTGTATACAGGGTTAAGAATGGAGTTTTCTAGCTTCTTGATTTCCATTTGGGAAGCAGAACGGTTCTGGTCCAGTTAATGGAGTGTTCGCTCCTTCTCTAGCTAGATCTTTGATTTTTCATTATCTTATAACTCTTGGTGGGTTGGCATACAGAGTAGGAAGACTTTATATCCTTTGAAGACCTAATCTGTTCAGCTTCCCTTATTCAAATCCATACATAATATCTTTTTGAAAATTGGTACACCTTACATAAAACCACATATAAAATAGAGAAGAAATAACATAAACTCCGAAAATCCCAAACGAATCAACTAAAATTCAAATCAATTTCAGTGTCACTGTCAAAAAATTATGTCTTTCACGTCGTAAATATAAAACTAGTAGTGGGAACTATCGAATGAATACTATCGAAACATTCGATAGTTGCAATTCATTCGAATAATTCGATAGTTAGTAAGAAAACATTCGTTGAAAACTATTCGAATAAAAATTATCGAATAGATCCGTCATCTGCCTTGAAACATTGTATTCTAGTAATTCGGCAGCAAAAACCATTCATTTATAGAATTCATTCATTTATGAAATTCATTTATTCGTCAGGATCGATTATAATAAAATATTAACTGAATTTTAGTTGTCGCCCGGCGACGTAGGTTTCTTTCCGAGAAACCCGACAGCGGTCGGTGGTAATGCTATGAAAGAAGCCGGCATCTTTGATTTTTTGCGGAGTCAGATAAAAATAAGGACACATTATTTTTTTTATTGAGGTGCTAGTATTTACACAGAAAATACATAATGAAGGGCGCTGTTGCCATATTTTGGTATTAGTTGATATTAGCAAAGAATATTGTTGTTTGGCTTTAGTTAGTTAGGGATAGTATGTCTATATATTCTGCATTTTTTTATTAATATTCTGTTGTTACACTGCAATAATACTTCTTATTTTGGACGTAGGAAAATGATTTTTAATGTTTTTAAGCAAAGACTGGTTTAATAAATAATAGTAACAGTAATAATTTGTTATACCTATTAACAACAAAATTTAAAATCATTTAATATAAACATTATTTTAAGTAGTAGCAAAATATACACAACAAATTAGATGTCAAAATTATTTATATTAGATCCTATTTAAAAATAATATAGTCTCTAAATTTTTTGGCAACTTGGTTTATTAAAGAATAATAATTACTGAACTAATTTGTTATATTAACAACAAATTTTAAAATCATGAAATATAAACATTTATTAATTTTCTAAGCATGCAATGTAATGAAAGGAAAATATAAATAAAAAATTAGAAATCAAAATTATTTATATTAGGTGCTTTATAATTACTATTTAAAAATTATATTTACTTTTACTGGCATTTACTTTAAAAAATAAATTAAATATTTCTTCGCAAAAAACTACATGTAAGAGAATTAGCATAAACAAAATACAAACATTGTTAACTTTTTTTAAAATTGGCACGTGTAAAACTTTCATTTTAATTTTCTCACCCCATAGTTTGAGTTCGATAACCCCATTTACTTAACCACATTACTTAAATATGATTGTTAAGTTCCAACTAATTCATATTATTAAAACATCTAAAATACAAATATGTATTTTTAAAATTAATTGTAAGTTCATCTCATCACTGTTAAAAATTGCTACTTCTCCTAAAAATTTCCCTTTATAAAAATGCAATCTAACCTAACCATAATATACCATATAAAATTAAATAATTGAAAGATCGGGCTACGGAAAATCACACAAATTTTCGGAAAAATTTTGACAACTTCGCACACAATCGTCAATTAAAAAAAACTACTATTTTAGTATTTTAAATATTTTAATAAACGCAAAAATTGCATAGTATTTACAAGGCGAAGTTATAAAAATTTGGAAGAACTAATAATGCACTGACGCACACAAAAATCAAACGAATACTAAATTTCATTTATTAAAAGCATTCGATAGTCGTGGCGCAACGATAACCATTTAGTCGCACGGCGAGGTTGTCACATATGCTTTAGTATACAAATGAATGAATGATTTTATTCGAATAAAACCATTCGATAGTTGAAATCATTCATTCAGTAACCATTCGATAGTCTAATTCATTCGATAGTTCCCATCGCTATATAAAACCAGTATTAGATTCCTATAGTCTTTTTCTTCTTATTAAGAACTATACCCTAATAATATGTCTATACTATCTAAAGAATAGTCCATTATTGTCTGAATAAGTTAACTATAAGTTATTCATGACTTTACGTTTATATTTCTAATAACAACATGACTCAGAACATCAGTTCCACTTTGTTTTGCCATCAAAATAATTAGCACTGACTTTTTTGCAAATACACGTGCACTACAGAAAGAATGAAAGGTGGGTAAATATAGAGACAAACAAGAAAAAAATATTTGACCTTTTGCATTATGATGATTGAATTTATATAATTGTGGAATTGAAAATTACATATTTTCTTTTAAAAGATGCACGATAAATCAGAAATCATCAAGTTAATTATATCTCCATAAATAATAATCTATTTCTTAATTATGCACCATGTTGAAACCTTAAAGGTCTGAAATTAAAGTTATAAGGTTTGGTTCAAAGCAGTAGACGTTGTAGACAAAGAGGAATAATGAAATAAAAGGACTCCTTGAACTTCCATTGTCTGTGATATTAAAAGATTAAACCTTTTAATATCCTATTAAATCTTTTATTATCAAAGACAATGGAGTATATAATTTCTGATGTTTTGAACAGAAATATAATTAATATTTTGCAAAACATATTATGTATATTGAGGTGACTTAGGGTCAACTGGGGTAAATGTAAAAAGGGGTAAATGTAAACGCCTATTATTTTCTGGTTTAAAGAAAATTTGAACGTAACTTGGCAACATTGTCCGCATTGCGCACGTTTGGTTTAGTCAAGGTCAGTTTTTAAATCATAAAACGGCAGTTGGTTTCGAAATATGGCGCGGTCAACATAATAGTGCAGTTTCAAGTGAAAACGGTTGTACCAAAGTGTTTTAAGAAGTGGATTACTGGCCAAAAAATGGTATGTTTGATAAGAATTTTGGTTTGAATAATTGTTAATGTTATGATTGTTCAGTATTAAATCAAAAATTAGATGTATTTTGCAATTAATAACCTACAAAATATTATTTACACTTGCCCCTGAAGAAATTAGTGTTGGGGTAAATGTAAATGACCAAATGGGGTAAATGTAAATACGAAAATTAATGTGATTAGGTAGTGAGTTTTTTAAATTTATTTTCAGAAATGCCACGAAATTACATAAAAAAGAGGCCACCGTCGTCACACACCCCTGAAGACATGGCTAGGGCTGTAGAAGATATTTTGAACAGAAATAGAAGTTACCAACAAGTCGAGGACCACTATAGTATTCCAAAAGCGGTAGTTTTTAACAGAATTAAAGGGCGAAAAACTGCAATTAAGCAAATTAGGGTCTGGACGGTCACAAGCGCTTAGCTTTGACATCGAACGTGATTTAGAAAACTGTATTAGGGCGCGAGCACGAATGGGCATTCTATGTGACAAAGAAGATGTAAAACAAGTTGTGGCTGAATATGTGCGTGTAACTAATTTAAAAACCCAATTTGTCAAAGGAACCCCTGGAGATGATTGGTACTATTCATTTATGAAAAAGCATCCAGGATTGTCAGTTAAGAAACCAGAGTTGCTACAAAAGTGCAGAAAAGATTCCAGGGATCCCTTCGTCGTTTATGATTTTTACACCGACCTGGTCCAACTTTTTGGAGAAAACACATTGGAGAATAAACCAGCTTTTGTATTCAACTGTGATGAGACTGGGTTTTGTCACGATCCGACTAAATTCAAGGCGATTGGGGAAAAGGGAAAGGCGCTGTCTAGAATATCAGCGGGTTCAGGCAGAGAGTCCACCACGGTACTTGCGTGTATTGCCGCAGATGGATCTTACCTTCCACCTTTAATAGTATTTAAAGGAGTAGGTGTTCAGGTTCATCATATTAATTTAATATTAACTCATACCTATTAAAAAATTTTATTTTGGACTTTTTTTGTCTTCCAGGTATACTTGTTCCGGTCACGGTTGGATGGAGGAGCCACAATTTTTTGAATGGTTGTCCACAGTTTTTGTTCCTCATGTACAGTCTACACGAGCTTCTCATAACCTACCTAATCAAACCGCCGAAATTTTGACTACCCCACAAGTTCTAGAGAAAATGGAAATTGCTCAAAAGTTAAGAAATCAAAAGAAAGGGATCAATAAAAAGCAAAAAGATGACAATGAAAACAAAATTAAAATGGCACATAGTAATAAAAAAAGGGCTGTTCATGAAGAAGAAGAAATTCAAGAAGAATCAATAGACGAATCTGCTTTGTATCAAGATGACTCTTCTGATGATGATCTCTTAGAATCAGTCATTGCTGAATCAACAGACGAAATTGAATATCATGAACCAGTTTGGAGTGAACTAAAACCAGGGTTATTTGTATTAGTAGAGTTTAAGGGAGCGCAGAGAAATACAATCCAATACAAGTATGTATGTTGTATACAAAGCATCGATCAAGAAGATGGAGATATTGTGGTTTAAGGGTTCGAGAGGTTAAATTCTGTATCAACAGAGTCTATTCAGAAGCCAAATGATGTAAGTAACGTAACATTCAAGATGATTAAAGCAATGTTACCAGATCCAAACCTCGAATATCGTGATAGAAAAATTATTTATATTTTTCCTGGGGCAGTTGCGGTGTATGAAAAATAAAACTATAGATTTTTATCTGTAGCGATGTTAAAATAATAGGCTGGCATAGGTTAAGTCTACTGTTTAGTGAGCTAATAGCTGTTTTTGAACCTTAAGTTTTTGTGGTTACTTTGTTCTTCTTTTGCAATTAAAAATTTGTATATATTTTTTGTATTTCGGGGTAAATGTAAACACCCCTCCTTTTAAAATAAAAATGTATAAAAACATACAGACTAAGATTTGTTTTCATTTGCCCTCATGATTGTAATGTCATACTAATATTTCATGAAATATTCATTTACATTTACCCCTATTAGCTGGGTAAATGTAAACACGTAGGGGTAAATGTAAATTAAAAAATAAATAAAAACTAACGTGTCAATGGCGGTTTGTCTTTGTAAATTAACAGGTAATAGACTAAGGGACACTGTGCTCAAATTTCAAAAGTTTAAAAAGTAAGAAACCTTAGATAATCATTAGCAAAGTTGAAGTTGATAAAATCGTTTACAATTACCCCAGTTGACCCTATATTGACGGTTTTTAAAATATTCTCATACGTGAAGTAGGAAGAGCAAAATCTGACGACAAGCGATGATGAATATTAGGTAATAGCTTTTAAGGTGTACCGGTCAGTATATATTAATAATAAAAACAATAAAAACATTCTCCGGACAAGTGTTTCTCCATAATTGAATTCTTAATTTAAAACTACCTACTTTGGCGTCATTTCGCAATTAAAAAAAGCTTAAAATATGCATATTTAAAGCAATGAAGTTAAGATCTGTTAAGGAAACGGCCATTATCGGCGTCATTGTCGCCGGCCAAAGTATCGGTTCGCGAGCATAATAATCTCGTATAAATTCCGGTGGTCCGGAATAATAAACACCTCGTATTTGAGCGGCCTTTTTCGGAAGATAAATAGTGCGTTCGGCCCTCGGTACTGCCTTTTCCGTGACCGGTCGCGGTCTCGTTTAAGATAACGAGCAACAAAACGACATACAGGGTGTTTGGTGTGACTAGATACAATATTAACCACAGCAAAAATAAATTATACTGTATTTATATCAAAGGACAATAGAGACATTCACAGTCTATAAAAATTTCAGAAACTTTATTCAAAATTCAGAAACAGGTCTTAACATCAATATTAAAAAATAATTAGTCATACATTTAAAAGACGTTCTGTCTCTCCTTTATTCAACTAGCAACACTCACCAGTCACAAGGTACCTGGTAACTGAACATTTTCTCCTGTTTTGATGTTTCCAATTTTGTTTTTGATACACAGCCAGTGCCATAAGTGTTAATGTTAACGTTAACTTTTACTTAGAATATAAGCAAATAATTGAATTTATTACTGTTTTATTAACTTCACGGTATACTTCAATTGTCCACTAATCTCATTAGTTTTGTAAATTACACATTTGGCGCCCAACGTAGGGCGTCAAAATCAGGAATCTATTCCAGATTATGAAGATATCAACACACTGAAGCCAGACTTTAGCTTTGACGCGAATGCGGTATCCAACTATTCCATAAACATATGGTAAACCATCATCTTAGGTCTAAAACCTATCGCTAACTTAAGAGCTTCATCACTTCCTCAAAGACGGAAAAGTTTTTTCAGAAAACTTTGTCTCCTTATATCTCAATCTAGGCTCGACAATCACTTCTTTTTCGTTCACCGTGTAGGTATAAGACGCATATTCGCAAATCTCAACTGTTTTGTGAGTTAAGCTTCATTCAGAACCTCCCAATTAGTGGTTTCAATTACACTTTATACTTTCTAGTTATTCACAATGTCTAAAAAACACAATTAAAATTAATAGAATATCCTAGCAACAGTTTGCGTTAGTCAGTTGTATCCATAGAGAAAGCCTAATATTTAGCTTATAAAACAATCAACTTTTGATTTCTAACCACAACTTCTCTTAACGGAAGATGAAGATAATCAAAAACCAAAATGATATTTGTCGCAAATTTTGAAGTATAATTTAGTGGAAAAGTCAAAAGTTTCATAACTTTTCCTACCAATTATGTCTACCACTAATTTTGACGTTCTTACATTGAAATTAAAGGAACAAACATCTACGCTAATTGAAACCACTAATTTATTCCACTAATTGCGAGGTTGTGAATGAAGCTTTATACATTTGGCGCCCAACGTAGGGCGTCAAAATCAGGAATCTATCGGATCTATTCCAGATTATGAAGATATCGTCAACATAGTAAAGCCAGACTTTACGTTCGACGAATGCTGTATTAATGGTCCTAAACCATTCCATATACACAGGGTAAACCATCATCTTGGGTCTAAAACTTATCATTAACTTAAGAACTTCATTCCTTCCTCAAACACGGAAAAGTTTTTTCAGAAAACTTTGTCTCCTTATATCTCAATCTAGCCTGCGTAATAACTTCTTTTTCGTTCACCGTGTATATGATGCATATTAGCAAATCTCACCAGTTTTGTGAGTTATACATTTGGCGCCCAACGTAGGGCGTTAAAATCAAGAATCTTTCGGATCTATTCCATTTTACGAAGATATCGTCTATATAGCAAAACCAGACTTTAGGTTCGACAAATGCAAGCATCATATACGAACCATCATCTTGGGTCTAAAACTTGTCTTGGGTCTTAACTTGAGAGCTCCATCACTTCCTCAAGAGCCTCGATGATAACCTCTCCTTCGTTCACCGTGTATATGACGCATATTCGCGGCCCAGACTCTCTGTCAGCCCTGTCGTCGCATTAATCGAGCGATTTGCAGTCGACGCCGCAACAACAGACCGAAAAGATCCGATCGCCGTAATTAACTTAGCTGCGGATTTTTTCCTTCTGTAGTCGTCGTTACCTTTTCCCTTCGCCGTCGCGTCGGCATTGAAATTTGAAGAATTCCGCGTGCGGCGGAGCAACAACGTGGGCGAATGCGACCGAAGGACCGCAGCGGCTTGAAACGACGTTTCCGGATTGGACAATGGCAAAAGGTGATCGGTTTACTACATTTGTGGTCGTTCATCTATAATATATCGGTTTGGAACTTCTTGCGACATCGTCCGAATAATAAGAAATTAAATGTTTAAAAAAATTGGCTATCCTTCCGACCGACGCGAAAATATGAATCCAATCCTTTTATTAAGGCACACAATTTTTTAGGTTCCTTCTTGCTGATTTGGTAATGAAGAGATAGGTACCGTGTATACTACTTTGAGAGGACAGAAAACAAAATAGAAAATACACTAACCAGCACGAAAAACGGGCACCTTAAAATTTAGATGTATTTTAAAGTTTAATAATATATTTTGTTCTAGTGGGCTGATTTTGATGATTTTTTAAGCAATTTGTAGCTAAATTATTTGGCTTTTAAGTATCTCTTCCTAAGATAAAAATGAAAGCTTCCATCTGTCAATGCGAAGGAAAAAAAAATGTTGGTTTTTGGTGAAAGTTTTTTGTGAGTTATACATTTGGCGCCCAACGTAGGGCGTCAAAATCAGGAATCTATTGGATCTATTCCAGATTACGAAGATATCGTCAACATAGTGGAGCCAGACTTTAGGTTCGACGAATGCAGTATTAATGGTCCCAAACCATTCCATATACATAGGACCAACCATCATCTTGGATCTAAAACTTATCACTAACTTAAGAACTTCAGCCCTTCCTCAAACACGGAAAAGTTTTTTCACAAAATTTTGTCTCCTTATACTCAATCTAGCCTCGATAACTTTTCTTGCTGTGTTTGTGGTCGTTTGTCTATATCTGTATCATTATGTTTAAAAATTAAGATACCTATATTACGTTTACAGATTTTCGAAAAAAAAACAAGAATCTAGCGAACATTATATTACCTTAAGTAACTTAAGTTTCACCCTCGGATATTAATCAATGTATCGATATTTTTGTATCTGATAACAATGTCTTTACTTTTATTGAAGGTATATGCTTTTGAAGCAGACAATAATGATTTACAGCAATTTTAGCATTAAAAGCATGCCCTTGTTTTGATCCTCATCATGAAATAGAGTTTATTGTTTTTCTAATGCCACTGTCTTGGAAAAAAACATATCACTGTTGGCAGTTACACAAGAAAGATGGTTTTAAGTCCAGAATTCATCTGTATCATCTTCAATTAAAGCAACAATAGTGAATACAACTTCTGGACTTAACACCATCACTACTTGAGTAGCTCCTAACAAACAATACTAATGTAACTTTTCAATAAGAGTGACATTCCCTCTCTCTCCAATCTTTCCTCACAGCTGAGGGTCGTGACTTCTATGAGAATACTTTTTGTTTTATAAGATCTTTCCAGGCTAATCTGTCTTCAGCTCGATGGGTAGCTGAGTGTAGGGGTAGACCCGTTGTTTGTCTGACTTGATCGATCCATCTGTTGGGGACCGACCTCTACATCTTTTTCCTTGGACCTTATAATAATTTTTTCCATGTTGTCGGTAAGCCTTCGAGCAATGTATTCAAAGTACTCGAGGTACTTATGTTAAACTCAGTTATTATTGACAGATTGGTTCTTCTAGCTGTCCAAGGTATTCTCAGCATACGTCTGTAACACCACATTTCAAGGCGCTTTTCCGATGATTTGATGGTCCAGGATTCCAACAGTGACATGAGAAGGCCAATAAACTCTATTTCTTAAGTGTCTTGATGAGGACCAAAAGCAAAGGCATGCTGTTCTGGACTACTGATTTTTTATGTATATATTATAATGAATGACTCATGTTATTTAACTTATATTTATTTTATCCTAAATGCTTTCAGCGAAAACAGAGATATTTAGATATTTCTAGATTAGATTAGATTCCTTAGATATTTAAATAAATATAATTAATACTTCTATTTTAGACAATGTCTATCCCGAAATATGGAAAAAAGCTATTATAACACCTCTCTGTAAAATTTCCAAACCTTTAAATAACAACGATCTTAGACCCGTGAGTATTTTGCCAGCAATTTCTAAAATTATAGAAAAACACCTACATAATCAAATTGTTTCATTTGTAGATTCAAATAAACTAATACCTGAATGTCAATCTGGCTTTCGTAAGAACTACAGCACTACCACTTGTTTACTGAAGCTGGTTAATGATATTAGAACAAATCAAGAAAATAAAAATATGACGTGTCTTAGCTTACTAGACTTTAGTAAAGCATTTGAT